GCCCCGGCCCCCTCCGCCGCCGCCGCCGCCGCCGCCGCCGCCGCCGCTCTAGGCAGCCGCAGCTCGGTGAGCTTAACCCTTCCCGGCCCGGCCACTCACCCCGCCCGGGGGACACGATGCGGCGGCCCCTGGGGCGTCCCGGGCCGGCCGGTGCAGAGCGCAGCGCGCGCTGTGCCGCATCCCCGCTGCGCGTGTCCGCGCACCACGGTTGGCGACTGTTGCTGCCTGTGTGTCTGGGTGGGGGGGTGCCCAGCCGGATTCCTGCAACCCCCTGGAGGACAGGCTTGGCCTCGGGGCTTCCCTGCCGGGGTACAAATTGTGGCTAATTAGCACTAAATTCGCTGACACTCGGAGAGGGAGGGAGTAGGTGCCATCCGGGCCCGGCCCCAGCAGGCCCTGGAGAGGCCACCCAGGTCCGCACCTTGGAGCCCTCCTCTTGGACCCCTGGACTGGGGAGGGGAGGGCAGGCCAGTAGGGATTGCGTGCCTCCCTCCCCCTGTTCGGGTACTGTGACCCGCATTGATCAAATGGGGCCACCTTGGAGAACTGGCAGAGCTGGAATCCTCCCTCCCAGCGCCCCTGCTGCCTTCCCCTAGCCACAAGGCTGGTGGTCAGGCCCTCCCACCTCCCCCACCCTCTCCTCTTTACCTTCTTTGCCAGCGGCTTCTTGCCTGGGTCGGGGTCTTCTCCAAGCAAAGCCTTCCCTAACCCCGTCTTTAAGTTACGCCACCTAACTTTACTGTCCTCGGAGCACAAACCTCTCTAACCTGGAGAATTCAAATTCAAATTAAGATGTTCAAATTCTTTAGAAAAACCTAAAGATCTGGGGGCAGGGCATGGTAGTTCACGCCTGTAAACTCAGCACTTCGGGAGGATCACTTGAGGATGGTAGTTTGAGACCAGCCTGGTCAACATAGCAAGACCCCATCTCTACAAAAAATGTTTTAAAATATTAGCTGGGCTACTAAGAAGTAGCCTGTAGTCCCAACTACTTGGGAGGCCAAGGTGGGTGGATCGCTTGAGCCCAGGAGGAGGTCAAGGCTTCAGTGAGCTATGATCGCGCCACTGCAAGCCAGCCTGGGTGACAGAGAAAAACCCTGTCTCCATCTAAAAACAAGCAAACACAACGGGCATGGTGGCTCACACCTATATTCCCAGCAGTTTGGGAGGCCAAGGTGGGCAGATCACCTGAGGTCAGGAGTTCAAGACCAGCCTGACCAACATGGAGAAACCTCATCTCTACTAAAAATACAAATTAGCCGGGCGTGGTTGTGAGTGCCTGTAATCCCAGCTACTCGGGAGGCTGAGGCAGGAGAATCGCTTGAACCCAGGAGGTGGAGGTTTCGGTGAGCTGAGATTGCACCATTGCACTCCAGCCTGGGCAACAAGAGGGAAACCCCATCTCAAAAAAAAACAAAAACAAAAAATCCAAAGATCTGGTGACCTGGGGTGCAGTAGGAATGCCACCGCCCCACACAAGAGCCCTCAGGGTGCACAGTCCCCTCCCTTCATCGTGTCCCTGGGCTCACACTGCTGTGGCACAGGTGGCCACCTTGTCCTGTTTTTGGAATCTCTCTCCCGCACAGGCACTGGAGTTCAAGGCTTCCCCTCTCTGGTCCTCACCTGAAAAGCCAGCACTCTGGTGGCTTCCGCCCCAGGCTAGAACAAGTACAGCAAGAACCTGGCTTTGGAGACAGAGTCATCCGGGGTCATGGGACCTTTCTGCAGCCAGGTAACTGCAGGTAAATGACTGCCTTGGATCTGTGAAGTGGAGATGGCAGCCTGCTAGGCAGGATAAGGATGAACAGATAGGGGAGCAGATAAGGAGGATAAGGCCAGGGGTTTAAGATAAGGGCAGGTGTGCACCTGCCTCCTCTTGCCTCCTGCAAGACCTTGTACCTTGAGGGGGCCCCTCCCTCTTCAGGTGTTTAGCCTTTCCTTCTGCTGGCTTCTATCTGGCAGCATTTACACATCCTCAGGGCTCTCCCTTCTTAAAAACGTGCTACCCTGGCCAGATGTAGTGGTTTATGCCTGTAATCCCAGCACTTTGGGAGGCCAAGGCAGGAGGATCGTGTGAGCTCTGGCTTTGGAGGCTGCAGTGAACCATGATCACGCCACTGCACTCCAGCCTGGGCAACAGAGCAAGACTCTGTCCGTAAAATAGAAAAGAGCTACCCATGCCAGGCATGGTGGCTCACACCTGTAATCCTAGTACTTTGGGAGGCTGAGGTGGGTGAATTATCTGAGGTCAGGAGTTCAAGACCAGCCTGATCAACATGGCGAAAACACTGTCTTTACTAAAAATACAAAAATTAGTCAGGCATGGTGGCGCATGCCTGTAATCCCAACTACTTGGGAGGCTAATGAGGGAGAATCACTTGAACCCAGGAAACGCAGGTTGCAGTGAGCTGAGATCTTGCCACTGCACTCCAGCCTGCACGACGGGAGCGAGATTCCATCTCAAAAAAATGAAATAAAATAAAGAGCCACCCACTTCTCCCTCCTGCCCTTGACAGCCAAACATTTTTTGCCATATTCTCATCTGCCCATCCCTCCTTCTACTCTCTGACCTGGCCTCACCCCAGCCAGGCAACTCCCCCTGATGTCACCTGCAATGTCCATGTCACTAAACCCTCATCACGTTTGGCCTCTGGGCAGTGTGAGACACTTCTGCCATCATGTCCAGGGAGAAACACCTTGGGTCCCCTTCCTCTTGGTCCCTTCTCTGACACCTTGTAGGCTGTGCTTCCCTGCCCCAGGCTCATGCTCACTTCTGCCCCAGAGACGAGTCCCACCCAGTCCACACACAGTTCCTCCCATTGAGCTTTTTGTTGTTTTTGAGACAGGATCTCACTCCCATTGCCCAGGTTAGAGTGCAGTGGCACAATCACAGCTCATTGCAGCCTCAACTTCCCAGGCTCAGGTGATCCTCCCACCTCAGCCTCCCAAGTAGCTAGGACTACAGGCATGTACCACCACATCCAGCTAATGTATTTTTTCGTAGAGATGGGGTCTCCCTATGTTGCCCAACCTAGTCTTGAACTCCTGGCCTCAGGCAATCCTCCCACCTCAGCCTCCCAAAGTGCTGGGATTATAGGCGTGAGCCACCGCAGCTGGCTATAATATTTTATTTATTTGAGATGGAGTGTTGCTCACTGCAACCTCCACCTCCCAGGTTCAAGTGATTTTCCTGTCTCAGCCTTCTGAGTAGCTGGGATTACAGGTGTACACCACCATGCCCGGCTAATTTTTGTATTTTTAGTAGAGACAGGGTTTCACCATGTTTGCCAGGCTGGTCTCAAACTCCTGACCTCAAGTGATGTACCCGCCTCAGCCTCCCAAAGTGCTGGGATTACAGGCGCGAGCCACCATGCCCAGCCCCAGCTAGAATCTTTTAATCTTTTTTTGAGACAGAGTCTCACCCTGTTGCCCAGGCTGGAGTGCAATGGCGCGAACCTGGCTCACTGCAACCTCTGGCTCTAGGATTCAAATGATTCTCCTGCCTCAGCCTCCCAAGTATCTGGGATTACAGGCACGTGCCACCACACCCAGCTAATTTTTTGTATTTTTAGTAGAGGCAGGGTTTCACCATGTTGGCCAGGCTGGTATCGAACTCCTGACCTCGTGATCTGCCTACCTCAGCCTCCCAAAGTGCTGGGATTACAGGCCTGAGCCACTGCACCCAGCCTAGAGTCTTTTAATAAGCCTTCCCACATCCTCTTTTGGCTCTATAAATAGCTCCCAACTCAACTTTCCACCTGGTCAATCTGGTCAGGAAGACATTTGCTTCACTGTTTCCTGGGGGCGTCCCTCCAGGGGCTTCCTCCCTGGGGATTCACACTGGGCAGGCTGCTGTTGGGGCTGCTGCCCGCCGTCAGCCTGGGACCCGCGCCCCCCCAGTGGGTGGATTACTTTAGGCCAGGAGTTTGAGACCATCCAGGCCAACATGGCAAAACCCATCCCTACTAAAAATACAAAAATTAGCCAGGCATGGTGGCAGGCACCTGTAATTCCAGCTTTCAGGAGGGTAAGACAGGAGAATTGCTGGAACCCAGGAGGTGGAGTTTGCAGTGAGCCAAGATCACACCACTGCACTCCAGCCTGGGTGACAGAGTGAGACTATGTCAAAACAAAAACAACTAATCAAAGTATCCACTGCAGTGACCCAGAACCACGTGTTCTCTGATGTTAAAGCTCTGAATGAAGATAAAAGAATGAGGGTTGCCAGGACCCCAGTGTGGGGCAGTTCCATCTGATGGCATTGGGATCCTCCAAGCAAAATCTCAGTGTTCATTTGCTGAGGCTTAGATTGAACTGGGGCTTCCTGAGGCTCTTCTGACACCATCTTGAAGTGCTGGTAGCCATGCAGGCTGGGACTTTTGACAACCTCAAGTCGGATGCCTTGGCCCATGCCTGTAATCCCAGCCACGTTGGGAAGCCGAGGTAAGAGGATCACTCGAGAACTACCCTGGGCAACATGGTGAAATCCCAAAGTGTCAGGATTACAGGTGTGAGCCACCACACCTGGCCAAATTGTACATGTTATTCTACACGTTTTTCTTTTCCTCTCTTCTTCTCTCCTCCCCTCCCCCTCTCCCCCCTCCTCGTTTCCCAGGCTGGATGTTAGTAGCTTGATCTTGGCTCACTGAAACCTCCACCTCCCGAGTTCAAGCAATTCTCCTGCCTCAGCCTCCTGAGTAGCTGGAGACTACAGGTGCACACCACCATGCCCAGCTAATTTTTGTATCTTAGTAGAGACGGGGTTTCACTATGTTGGCCAGAATGGTCTCGATCTCTTGACCTCGTGATCCGCCCACCTCCACCTCCCAAAGTGCTGGGATTACAGGCATGAGCCACCTCACCTGGCTGCTAATTTTATATTTTTAATAGAGACAATGTTTCACCATGTTGGCCAAGCTGGTCTCAAACTCCTGACCTCAGGTGATCCACCTGTCTCGGCCTCCCAAAGTGCTGAGATTACAGGTGTGAGCCACCTCACCTGGCCTGAATTGTCATGTTAAATGGATGAACTGGGTATGTGAATCATATCTTAATAAAACCACGACTTTAAAAACAACAGTGCAGCAAAAATCCTTGATCATCCCTTTTTGTTTCTAGATTTGCTGGGTCACAGGGCCATTCTGCTTTTTTTTTTTTTTTGATATGGAGTTTTGCTCTTGTTGCCCAGGCTGGAGTGCAATGGCACAATCTCGGCTCACCACAACCTCTGCCACCCGGGTTCAAGCTATTTTCCTGCCTCAGCCTCCCAAGTAGCTGGGATTACAGGCATGTGTCACCACACCCTGCTAACTGTGTATTTTTAGTAGAGATGGGGTTTCTCCGTGTTGGTCAGGCTGGTCTCGAACTCCTGACCTCAGGTAATCCACTTGTCTCGGTCTCCCAAAGTGCTGGAATTACAGGCGTGCACTACCGCGCCTGGCTAATTTTTATATTTTTAGTAGAGACGGGGCTTTACCATATTAGTCAGGCTGGTCTTGAACTCCTGACCTTGTGATCCACCCGCGTTGGCCTCGCAAAGTGCTGGGATTACAGGTGTTGAGCCACCACTCCCAGCCTACATTTTTAATAGGTTGTTTTAATTACACAGTACTAAACATACCAGCCAGGGGAGTCTGCAGTTGCTTTATTTCCCACATTTTTTTTCTTCCTTTTTTATTGTGGAAGAACTGTCTTGGGTCTGAGAGCAGCTGAGACATATCTCACCCCTGGAAAGTTTTGGTGCAGTCCACGTTCTGAGATGGAGCTGCAACGGCCCAAATGGTAAGCGTGCGTCTCGAACATGGAAGCAACATGAGAGGTTCTTTTCAATCTTTTTCTTTTCAAAACAAGGTCTTGCTATGCTGCGCAGGTTGGAATGCCATGGTGTGCTCACAGCAGCCTCCAAGTCCTGGCTCAAGCGATTCTCCTGCTTCAGCCTCCCGAGTAGCAGGGACTACAAGTGCACATCACCATGCCTGGCTAATTTCTGTATTTTTAGATGAGGTTTCACCATGTTGGCTGGGCTGGTCTTGAACTTTTGAACTAAGGTGATCTGCCTGCCCCAGCCTCCCACAGTGCTGGGATTATAGGCGTGAGCCACCACGGCTGGCCAGTTTTTCTTGTTTTTTTTTTTTGAGACAGAATCTCACTGTCACCCAGGCTGGAGTGCAGTGGCACAATCTCAGTTCGCTGCAGCCTCTGCCTCCCGAGATCCAGTGAGTCTCCTGCCCCAACCTCCCAAGTAGCAGGGATTTCAGGCACACACCACTACATCCAGCTAATTTTTGTATTTTTAAGAGTCAGTTTCACCATGTTGGCCAGGCTGGTCTTGAACTCCTGGCCACAAGTGATCTGCCCACCTTGGCCTCCCAAAGTGCTGGGATTACAGGCGTGAGCCGCTGTGCCTGACCACAGGTGGTTAAATTTCATCCCCAAAAGGTAAGCTCAATATTTTAATGCTCCTTGTTTGCTGTTTCCATCTCTCATTTCAGGCTGGGAAAGCCACAGTGACATGGTTCCTAACCTTTCCTTCCTCCTGAAGTCAGTTATGGGAGGACTCCAGGCAGACACCTTCCCCTTTGCAATAGGAAAAAGATCCTTGAGGGCTGTGTTTTGTACCTGAGGGAAGAAATGTGACACAAAGCCAACAGACCTGAAGCAGGGCGGGCATGGTGGCTCATGCCTGTAATCCCAGCACTTTGGAAGGCAGACGACGGCAGATCACCTGAGTTAAAGTGTTTGAAACCAGCATAGGCAACCTAGCAAGACTCCATCTCCGTAAAAAATACAAAAAATTAGCTGGGCATTGTGGAGTGCACCTGTAGTCCCAGCTACTAGGGAAGCTGAGGCATCAGAATCGCTTGAACCCGGGAGGTGGAGGTTGCAGTGGGCCGAGATCACACCACTGCACTCCAGCCTGGGCGATAGAGCAAGACTCCGTATC